AACTGCGCACCTAGCATACAGTACCCAATCCTGGGATGCCCTGATATACTTTAGTGCTTGTGATAGTTCTTCAAAGTTTTAAAGAGGTTAAGGAAGCGGCACCAGGAGAGTGATTTGATCTCCTGTGAAATGTACACAAATACATAGATGATACGGTGGGTACTTACTAAAATCTTCTCAATATATTTTTCTGGACTAATTACAACAATAAAGAACGTGTGCTTTAAAGCATCACATTTTGTAATAAGCCCCAAATTGTCAGTTTAAGTGCTCTTAAAGTTACTAAGACTGCACAGGCTGCCTTTTTTTTTCTTTCTCTATTTTCCAGGTTACAAGGAGCTATGCCCTTGGTATTGCACGCAGTACACCGTGACAGGTTGACAAGGTTAGTTCAAAGTCATTTTTGCCCTGGTGATTCAAAGCTCAAAGACAGAATTTTCTAGCATACAGTCTTATTAAAAAAATTTAATCAAAATAGCATTTGAATTTAAGTTTAATAAAACAATATCACTATATATACTTTTAACAACTTCATTGTATAATCAAGCCTATGAGGTTTTTGACTTGCTTTTCACATCACACTGGTTATTAAGGACAAAAATAATGTTGATGTACATGTGCGATACACAGTCTACACGTTGATGCATATACACACAGACAACTGTAACTACCCACAAACACAACATTGGCAGGCGACAGAAAGCATTTTCTTTGACATCTGACGTACTATTCTCCAAAAGCCTGCACTACTACAGATAAACTACAAGGAGACCTAAGGAAACCTACCGTATGTACAATTAACTTGCAATATTTTCTTGCTGTCGCATTCAAGTCAACAAACTGTCATGCAGCTTCAAGTATTTACTGGCATTCTCTCTATGAAGACATTCTCTCTGCATGCAATGGGCCAAGTATTGTCCTAAGCAGAAGGCTGCCCACTTGGGTTTTGGACACTGTAAGTACAAGAGATGATGACTTTGGACTTAAGTCCTCCTTTTAGGGGGTGAGAGATGGAAAGGCATCCGAGAGAAGCAGTGACAAAGCACCTCCCTCTCACTACCAACAATCTGTCACAGGATGATGGCGATCTCTCGAATCCCCCGGAGGACTTGATGATGTCAGGCGTCAAAGGACTGGTGGAGAGAAACCTGGGGCAGACCAGGAGCTTGGCCTGGGAGAGAAGATGAGCAGAAAGCTACGGAGTAAGGTAGGAGGCCCAGAGGCTCATGTGCCCGCAAAGCTGACTGATCTTCTGTCAGAGTAACTCAGATGTTTTGAAACAAAAAGCAGATACTAAACCCCAGGTTGCACTCAACTCAACTCTACCTTTAACGAGTCCTCGGGTGCCACTTTGGTTCTTGGTTTTACAGTGCTAGTTTTACAACTGGAAGAGGGAAGGGATCATTCACAGCTGACGTGAAGACGACAGGTGGCTACCAACCTGCTGAAAACTTGAGTGCACAAGAGCTAAACTCCACAGACTTGGACCTACAAAGCTAAGAAACTTCCTGTGAATTCAGGCTGAAATAAGCTTAACTGCTGACTACAAGGAAAAAGCCAAAGGAATTCGAAATTCCAAGGGCAATTGAGAAACTTCTTTAAGGTCAATTTTCTTCTGACCGTCACTGATTAGGTGAAAAGACATACAAGAGCCACAGCTCGTGACAGAGGGAGCAAGAGGCAAAGGACAGCAGAAAAACTCCATGTCGCTTGGTGCATAGGCAGCAAAGGCCTCTTTCCCTGCTGATTATGTAAGTTCTTCCTCAACCTCAGACGTTCTATGGTTTGGCCACAGCGTGAAATACAACCTGGTTTGAGCCTTGGAAAGCCGGCCAGATTGTCCTCTTCCAGAATTTACTCCTTTCATGTCACTTCTGCCTAGGAACTGGTCCAAACTTCTGGATTGGGTAACAGTGGGAGAAGCACAGAGGGTCTTGCATTTGGCACAAGACCACCCTATGAAAATGCTTTCTCTCTTCTATTCTCTAGGAGCAAGAAAAAAGGTGACACATAATCCAGGAACTACATTTTTCCAGCAAAGGACTCTCCCACATGTTGGTTTTACTGAGATATTGCTTGGTTCAGTTAGACACTAAGAGTTAGTAAAATGATGTTTTAAAAAAGTGCACTTCAGAAATGCCTATGGTCTGGCAATAAAAGACTCTGCATGCTGGGAATTAAGTTTTGATTGCTAACAAGGAATCTCTGACACCTTCCTGTAAAAGCCAGCATGCAAGGTGGGAACTAAACCCTAAGACATTCACAGATTTTATACATGGGCCACTTCTATGGTCTAGAAGACTTATTTCCAAGGTATTTTGATGACTACCAAGATTTTATATACTAAAAATTAACCTTAAGTGTATTTACGTGAAGAGGAATAATGATTTATCACATGGAGAGAAATCCCCAGGCTCCTCCTGGGCACTGAGGTGGGGAGGAGGAGGGGTATGGAGTACCTGGAGAAGGGATGGAGACGGAGGGCTCCCCTGTACCGTGAATTGGGCAGCAGGCTGGCGCTAGCTCTGAAAGGAAACATCTTCAATATCTTCTGACTAGATACCACGGGAAAGAAATGATCACATGGTTGGCTAGGGGCCAGACTCTCAGAATCTAGTCAAGCCAGAGACTGTTTCCTCCCAGGGGGCAAACTCTGGGCCTGCCCCCTGCACTGACGGCAACCTTCCAGAGGCCTCTTCAGCCCGTCTCCTGAGTCTGGGCAGCGTCATGCTAGGGCGATCTGACATCCTGGCTCACAAAAGAACCTTTCGAGTTGTTCTGAAAGATAAACTACGCAAACATGGTATCCTGCAGCTTCAAAAGAGCCCTTCTTATCCAATGACAGATTAGCATATCCAGATGTCCCTGGAGTTAACATTGGTGAGTCATGGGACAGGACCAGTGCTGATGCTGAGTATTTCAGGACTACTTTAAATGTCAGAAATACTATAGCAAGGTACCCTTCGATGTATATTAAATACTATAAGTAAAATATACACAGACATTCTATATACACAGACACACATTCAAGCCAGTCAGAGAAGTTAATTTTTCTTCAGTTATTGAAACTCATAGATGACATGGTCTAGGGACCTCTCTCCCCTCTGCTTAGTATAAATATTTAGGCAGAAAACAGACATACTGATAACTTAGATTATAAGGAAGAAAGACAACTTGCTTGTGGAAATCTTGGATTCAGTGAGAAGCTACAGAAATGAATGAGGTACGTGGGCCATGTCGGGAACGAGCCTGTTCTGAAACGTAAATTTAGCCATTTCCTTTACCTAAACAAGATCGAGAATTTGAGTTGTTCAAAGGTGTGGCAAAATACTTACCACAAAGCAAGCAACTAACAAACTTAGAGAGGGGTAACTCTTCTCTGGACACTAGCAAACATAGACATTTATATAGGTGAAGGAAGTCAATGTTAATAAATAATTCTGTAAATAAATGCTGGTATATATAATAATATACCACTTAGAAACTACCACGGTTTTATAGCAGGTTTTCTCTAATTCACTGGAACCATGCTATTCACAGAGAGCAGCTGATTCTTTGGTCATAGTACCTTCAACTCACTCACGAACCGAGTAGAACTAGAAAAAATTTCTATGGCAGGAACAGGAATAATCAAGGTGATTCCATTAGTTCTGCCACTTGTGGAGATGACAGTCTTAGGGATGACAGACTTTCAAGGTTTGGAAATCAGAAAGTTCTAACTCACAGTGGGCTACCCTTTCACTCCTTTCTTCCTCTACAAATTATTATTCTGTTTATCACCTTGAGTTTCAAAGGGGCTGTCACTAGAACAAGCTCATGGCTGTAAGGTGAATAGAACTCTTTTGAGTAGATAGAAATGATTTAAAATAGATAAAGTATTTTTAGGAGAAAGTTCAATAGTACCAAAGTGGAGTGGCTATCAAAGAGGCTGAGACAAGAATAAACGAAGTCACTTTGCATATGCGACCAGCGACTGCCTCGGTTTTCCAACCACAATTCATTACGTTCAGAGTTAAAGAATACCCATTGTAGACAACTGCAGCTGCTTTCCTCCCTTATTTTGCCTTAAGGAAAGAACAAAAGGGGTTCTGTTTTCAGCATTTTGTTAGAAGGGAAGACCCCACTACCCCAACCAGGACATAACCCGATGCCCACACACATGTATATATGTAGAGTCAAACAGGATCTCTTCCTGGATGGAAGGGTATCAACAACAGAGATGATTCTGGATTCCTAGTCTAGACCCTGTGGGAGTGAGGTAACAATTCTCTTGACCAAACACATGCCTACTGCTGCAGCTCCCAAGAGCCAAGTATTGCCATCATCCTGTGGAAAACGAAATTAACCGGGTAGCACTCTTTCCTCAACGTTCAAGGGCAAAATGACTCTACCTCTTCTTTCCCTTGCTTGGCTGAAATGCAATCAACACTTAAGCAAGCCCATGTGCTTCCCTAAGTTCTGCAACCCTGCGGTCTCCACGCACCCTCCCTGCTGCCAGCAGGGTCAGAGCTCAGCAGTAAGTGCCAAGATGCACGCGGAGCTGCGTCGTGTCGGAACATCGCGATTCCCAGCATCGTGATTCTTAGCTCGAGCGTCTGTGAGCGCTCAATTCCACCTCTGTGACTGGGCAAGATTTCACATGTAAAGGCTTCTATTAACTCTGGCTAGAATTACTAAACTACAGTTTGTCCAGTTAAGTGTTTCACAATGGATTAAGTTTTTTAACCTTAAAAAAAAAAAAAAAAGTTGAACAGTTGATTTGAGAATACATAAAACAACTGAGCAGAGTGCAAACGAGAGAAAACCCGAGGAGGGACACATAATTCCCTCTGAAATCACGATCCCCTCCCCCTCACAAAAAAGGTGCATTAGTTCTCAAGTTGCAAAAATCATCAAAGCAAAGAAATCAAGAGCAAAGACAATCTGTACAGAAACTAACAAAAATATACAATAGAAAAAGTTACTAATGCACCATTTTGTCACAGACTTTTTTTTTTTTTAATATATTCACGGATTACCAGAAAGATCTTGAAAAATCCTATGTTGCTCCATGACCAGCACTTCCTGGCCGCAGACAGATTCTAAGTGACTTTTTGCTTAATGCTGGGTGTTTCAGGTCGGTGGTCCTTCCTTTCTGACACGTTGCGCTTGACCTTGGCGGTGATGGGAGATGAATCTGGGTTCAGCGAAGGGCTCGAATGGGACTTCTTCAGCCCTGCGGCCTCACTCTCCTCGTGACTCAGGAGCTCCTTGCCTCCTCCTTTTAGGATGCTGACGTAGATTTCATAGCGCGTTTTCTGCAGGCAAAGTCAGAAGACGAGCAGTCAGCAAACCGTTCACAAATGCACGTGTGCAACACACTGAAGGGGTTAACTGTCTGGTCAGTGTGAATGGCTGTTGAAGACCTGACTGCATTCTCCAAACTGACAAGTTACTTGGGTACTTACCGGGCACATGAGAAGCAACACAACAGAAGACTGATCAATTTAGGTAAGCAATTACTTAGAATTTGAGTTCTCATTTGTTCTAGGTGCTGAAGGAATGCCAACTTGGAGTTACTGGCTACAGATGGAGGGATCGTGAGTTCTGGACACTCAAGAAGGGTCTAAGTGGGAGGATCTGTAACCTCTGGTTTTCGGTGACAGTACAATAGTCACTTGAGCCCTCCCCGCCCCCCCGCCACGTAATCTAGGCCTCGCTGGAAACTGAAGGGGCTTGGATAGGGTTGTTTGCTCTTTCTTACTCCCTATAACTCTACGGTAAAGACTCAACTTGAGGGATCATTCTGTGGTGACTCTACTCTCCAGTCCCCTGTTCCCCTGTAAGACGACAGCACTTTCTAGAAGCTGCTCTGGGGTTCCCGCCATTACTTTTCTGCTTAGAGTACCCACCCACTTCTTAGGCTAGTAGCTACCATGAACTGTATGAAGCTTGCAGAATTTCAAATTATTTTCTGATGCTTTTCTCATTCAACAAAATTTCTTTCAATTATCAAGTACGTAGCACGTGCCTACTACTTTTCAAACAAGTCCTTGATTTCCCCTCTCATGTCTGCATATAGTTTTCTAAAAGTCTTTTTTTGCCTCTAGCCTTAACTGGCACTTTTTTAAAGTTCCTATCTCAGTGAATATGTAGAACTCTTGTGTATATGTTGCAGACTACAGAAGGGTCTCCAATTCTTGAGTTGATACATCCTGGTCAAAATAAGTCTTTCACCATCCTGCCTCGACACAGAACACCTAAAGTGTTTTATTTCTAAACAAAAGGACAGGTCAGTTACAAATTGTCTCAACAATGGCAGGCAAAATCTATTTTGACTATAGATCTTTTAGGGATTTTGGGTAGTCAGATTGGGTTTTTGTATACATCAGTTTTCAGTTAGTCATTGTGAAGTACTACCCTTTCAAGTTGTTTTGCTCAATAGTAGGAAAAAGCTGCTGGACATTAAATTTGTTCTGGGTTTGGTCAATATCCAAGTGGGGGTGCTGAGCTTTGGTTGATGATGATATTTATTGGGCGCCTGTGTGCTGATTTCAGGCCATTCATACAATAATCATATACTACTGGTAATATTATTATCCCCACGGTACAGTTAAGGAAACAAAGGCAGAGAGAAGTCGCAAGCATGAAATGAAACTGGGATTTGAACTCAGATAATCTGACTCTAAAACCCATGCTCTTAAGCTATGTATCTCCCCTTGATATGAAAATACAGGTATGTATATTTTAGGATGATTGCTCTGACAAACACTGTTGGTTGGCCAATCAAAAGCCATTCTCAACTTCCTCTACTCTTATGTCCTGCCCACTGCAAGGAATGATAAAACCTAAGATACTTTCTCAGCCTCTCCTGCAGCTAGGATGGGCCATGTGATATTCTGGGCAATGAGATGTAAGGAGGAGGCTTTTGGGGGGCTTCTGGGAAGGAGATTTTGATGACTAAATCAACCCACCACCAGTAGCTATCGTCTCTCAGATGCCCAGAAAGTACCCAAGTAACCTGATAAAAGGAATGTTCCTTCCCTGACATGGACATGATTCCTGAAGCTGCCACCCTGGGACACGGGCAGTAGCTATGAAGACAAAAGGATAACATGCAAGGCCTGAGGAAAAATGGAAAGACAGAAAGAGCCTGGGTTCTTGATGACACAATGAACTGTATCCAACCATATGACCCCTACCCCCTGGATTCCTGTTAAGAAGGAATAATAAATAGCCTTATGGGTTAAAGCCATTGTTTATCAGGTATTGTTATCTCTAGCTGAAAGCATAATTAACTGATACACATTCCAATTTTAATAAAGAAATAACAAAATGAATCAAAATAACGTGCTAAGCATGATCTCAGAAGGCCACATGGGGGTTTAATGAGGGCACTTGCTAGAAAAATGTCATCAGTATTAGATATCAGTACATGAATTGTGAAATCTGGGGGTTGAACTAGACGATATCCAAAGGACATACTGGTTCTAATCTCCTACTCATTGTAGGAATTCATTAATCCGTCTCTAAATCTACTACACTTTGAGGAAACTGATACTAATGGGAAAATTCACCTGAAAAACACATGAAGGACAACCATCTCATCCACTCATTCTACAGCTCCAGTTGCAAAGCTACTGTCTCAAAAGTAAACTGCATCAGTGTGTCAATCAACAAACAAAAGCACAGAGGAATGGCAGTGCATGAGTCATCAGCCCAGAAGAAAAGATAAAGCAGAGAAAAGGGTGAAAGCAAGGCCAAGAAAAAAAGAACGAACCGGTAAAAAAAAAAAAAAAAAAGAAAACCAAGGGGGGTTAAGAACCTCCAAAACGAAGGCCCCCAATTCCGAACTTAAAAAAGTTAAAAGGAACAGAGGCCATGAAACCCAGTAACATAACTTTTTACCATTCTCTGAGCCTAGCTTTTACTGTAACCAAACCAAATATGTCTCTTCAAAATATTATAGGGCAACATAACTTTAATCTCAGAACTATTCAGTGGGTATTAGTTTTAGCCACGTCTTTCCAGGATTACAGACTCATCCAAACGTGTAAATCCCATGCAGAGGATTCGCGGCCAAAATAAAATTGTCTCTGAGTAAAGAAAAATAACTGAAGGAAACCCTGAAGGTAATGGGAATGAACCTAACTTTAAAATTCCTCTCCTCTCTGATTTCTCCTTGTATTATCTTTTTGGGGAGAAGGAAGGTTGGACTTCTTCCTAAATATGCAACCCCATCTTTGGGAGGGTTTATGTCCTTCCTTCCCTTCAGAGAAGCCATGATTCTCATCTTTTTTCCCAAGACCAATTGTGAAATTTAAGTTTTAAGTTAAAGCTGGTGTGGAAGGAAAAGCTAAAGCAGCAAGAAGAGTGTCGTAAATCACTTTTTCAAGGTCTGTTGTACCACCTCGGACACTGACAACTTGATCCATGTTCAAATGGTCAACCTGGATGAAAGAAGCTTGTAAATGACACTGTGGCAGACACTGCTTTTGGAAGAGCCTCCTCTTTCATGCTAACTGCACTGTGATTTTTATTAAGAATGTCCACGTGCCCAGTCCTCTCACAGTTCAACCCAGACATGATAACCCCGTCTCCATTTGCTACTTTCTCTTGCCACCATGTGGCCTACATTTGGCCACTCACAGGTAAGTAGCAGTCTGCTAGGACACTTTTTGAAAGCAGCTATCTTGATAAAAGCTGGCAGGCAAAATGTCTGGAGCTATGGCAGCCATTGTGAGACCATGAAACCATAAACATAAAAACAAAAAAGCCAAGGTGCTCATGATAGCAGATTAGAAATTTAGAAAGATCACACATTCTTGATGACAACACTTAGCAGCCAGTAAGTACCCACTTGCAGTTTGCTTAAGTGAGATAAAGAATGTTTATACTGTTTAAACACTTAGTCGAGTTTTCTGTTATTTGTAGCCAAAAGCACTCTTAACTAATAAAATGGTCAACATTCAGCCTGGTTTCAATCATTAAAAAAAAATAAATCCCAATTGAATTGCACATGTACCTCCTGTCTTAATTTTACTTAGGAAAGGATTACTTGATCAATAACCTTTGGTGTGATGTAGCTTTGTTAGGGGTTTCTCTTTATAGTCAACAAATAATTTATAGACATTACTCCACTATGGTCCACACTGTGGTTACATAATGAATATTAAGTCAATGGCTATTTTATCATTTCCACTGAGAGTTTTATGCCATTTGTTTAATCTCTGTGGGTGCCAGAGTACATGTCTCCCAGTCCTTCCCTGTAAGCCTACTACGTGTAGGATATCCAAGAGACTCTAAAGGTTAACCAATAAACTGAGAGTTCCATACAGGCACACCTTCTTTTATTGCACTTCATAGATACTGCATTCTTAACGAATCGAAGGTTTGTGGCAACGCTGTGTTGAGCGAATCTACTAGCATCATTTTTTCAATGGCACGTGGTCATTTCATGTCTCTGGGGGACGTTTTGATAATTCTCATATTTCAAATTTTTTATTATTATAGCTGTTATGGTGATCTATGATCAGTGATCTTTGATGTCATTATTGTTAACTGTTTTTGGCACCACAAACCATGTCCATATACAATGATTAACTTAATAAATGGATGTGTTCTGACTGCTCTACCGACTGGCCATCCCTCTGTCTCTTCCTCTCTCCTCAGTCTTCCCAATTCCCTGAGATACAAAAATATTGAAATTAGGCCAATCAGTGACTCTGCAGTGGCCTGTAAGTGTTCAAGGGAAAGGAAGAGTCTCACATCTCTAACTTTAAATCAAAGGCTAGAAATGATTAAGTTTAGTCAGCAGGCACATTGAAAAGCCAAAATATGTTGAAAGCTAGGCTTCTTGCGCCGGTTAGCCAAGTTGTTAAATGCAAAAGAAAAGCTCTTGAAGGACGTTAAAAGTGCTACTTCAGTGAACATGTGAATGATAAGAAAATGAAACAGTCTTATTGCTGATATGGAGGAAGTATGAGTCGTCTGGATAGAAGATCAAACCAGCCACAACACTCCTTTAAACCAAAGCCTAATCCAGAGCAAAGCCCTAAATCTCTTCAGTTCTCTGAAGACAGAGAGAGATGAGGAAGTAGCAGAGGAAAAGTTTGAAGCTAGCAGAGACTGGTTCAGAGGTTTAAGGAAAGAAGCCATCTCCATAACATACAAGTGCAAGGTGAACCAGCATGTGCTACTGCAGCAGTAAGTTGCAAATCATCTAGAAGATCTACCTAATATAACTGATGAAGGTGGCTACACTAAGCAATACACTTCCCATGTAACAGCTTCTATTGGACTTTTATAGCTAGATAGG